TCACTTATAAATTGTTTTGTCTTTTAATTTGCGAATTCTCCGAAACAAACGCACACTTGCGCGGTCGAAAGAACTCTCTTTTTCCGTGTTTGCCTCTCTTTGCTTGCTCAATTCAAACTGACTCCGAATCAACGGCTTATTTATTTTGCCTTCTTTTATACTCTAGATGGCCTTTTATGTTTTCGATATACAGGTGGCCTACCGACTAGCTTACCACATATGTATTTACATATCTCTATTACCTATACTCTTACACAAGTAGCATCCATTTACCGTCTGTTGTGTCGGCTCGGTGGAAGGGAGACGTTCGCTCTCTTCCATTTGTTGAACGGCCGAGCTCACACGGATACATGACGTAGCGCTTCTGGAGGTTGTGTGAGGCAGCGAAGCCGGGACCGCGGTGGAAAATATCGCATCACTGATGCTACGCAATGGAGGTATAAATATTTCTGCGAGAACAGTAAGATACCGTTTAAATGCTGCACATATTTACTCACATCTTGCAGCAAAAAAAATTGAATTAAAACCGGAACATAGAATGCAAAGGACGCAATTTGCCAGAGAATATTTGGACACAACTCAAGAAGAATGGAATGCTGTCGTATGGATGGATGAGAAAGTTTTTTCATCTACAGAAAATGGGCGATATTGCGTCCAGATGGAGAACGTTTGAATCCTAAATACGTTCTTCCATCAGGATATAGTGGAAGAATATCAATAAGATTTTGAGGAAGTATGACTTCTACTGGATTACTAGATCTTGCAGAAATAACACCAAGAATGAATGCCGAAGAATATGTAGAAATATTAGAAGAAGTATTAAAATCCGGTATCAGACGCGTCTACCCAGAAGAACAATACCTGATAATAAAAATAGTACAAGACAATACAGAAGATTCGATGTCCAGCAAAATCTTCGAATTTAAACTCGATAGAAAATGTTTGGGGCCAGATGAAGTCTTGTAGATAGCTGGTTAATAACTAGAGAAGCCTTAAGAAATGTGCACAAAAGAACCAATTATCTTTGTGACCAGACTGTTTCCTGAAACAAAATAAGTATCAATATTATTAAAACATGTATTTAATATTTACACTTTCTTTTTCTCTTATTTTTATTTATATACTAACACTTACTATATTCAATATTTCATCAACATGTTGATACACGTTTACTGATCAATAGAACCTATTTTAATCAGCAAATAGTGTTTCTGAAATACAAAATAAGAATTAAAATTATTAAAACATATGTATTTATTTATATTTCTCTTTGATTAATTTTATACTGCTATACTTACTAATATGGTATCCAGTATCCATCGCTTGCGATGACTAATTCTAATCGTCTTCGCATTGAGTTTATTAAATTTTGCGCATAGTCCGGTTGCAAAGATAGTTCGTTCCACACTTGCTGCACATGATTCCTTAACGCTTCTCTAGTTTGTAATTGGCCAGCTATCCACTTTCCTTCATTTGGGCCCAAACATTTTATATCGGATTTAAATTCAGAGATTTTGCTGGCCATGGCATCTGCTAGATATCCGGATTTGCATCAAATGATGCTTGGACTAATCTGGAGGTATGAACGGCACTATTGTCTTGTATTGTACTATTTTTATTATCGGGTACTGTTCTTATGAGTAGACGTGTCTGATACCGGGTTTTAATACTTCTAATATTTTTACGTATTCTTCGGCATTCATTCTTGGTGTTATTTCTAAAAGATCTAGTAATCCAGTAGAAGTCATACTTCCCCAAAATCCTATTGATATTCTTCCGCTATATCCTGATGGAAGAACGTATTTAGGATTCAAACGTTCTTCATTTAGACGCCAGACGCGAAATCGCCCATCTTCTGCAGATGAAAAAACTTTCTCATTCATCCATACAACAGCATTCCATTCTTCTTGAGTTGTGTCCAAATATTCTCTGGCAAATTGCATCCTTTGCATTCTACGTTTTGGTTTTAATTCAATTTTTTTTGCTGCAAGATGTGAGTGAATATGTGCAGCATTTAAACGGCGTTCTCGCAGAAATATTTATACCTCCATTGCATAGCACTGTAGCTGCTGCATCAAACGGATTTTCGTCTATTCTTCTAACAATTTTTTGATCTTGTTCTGGTGTTGTTTTCTGCGGACCCTTGTTGTTTTTTCGATAATCTTCTAAATTATTTACTCCTCCTTCTTCATATTTTCTTATCTATAATGCAACCGTTCGACGGTTACATTCCATAATGCGCGCAATTTCTGTTCTATTATGGCCTGCATGGTAAAATCTAATTATCTTGCCCCTGTCTGCTGGTTTTAAATTTTCAAAGATATTTCGCTGCATTATAAATTTTTTGCTCAAACTTTAATTATTTGTATGTGTTACTATGACAACATATAATTACACAAGGTGTCTACATGAAATGTATATATAAAAGATGTATAAAAGATAAAATATTATTGTATTTAAAATTTTTTATTTGTATTAAAATTGTGTTAATAAATGTTTTATTATATATATAATATTGTTTTATTAACTTTAATATTATAAATAATTATATATAAATAATTATAAATATAATATAATATAATAATTATACATTTTCCTGTCTGTCCACATTTTTCTGAATTAGATGAATCTGTGTCCATAAAAATTCATATCATAGTTAATAACAAATTATGAATAATGTTAGAATCTGATATTGTGAAAGTTCTTTATTGATTAAAAGACAAATAAGGAAATAGTAATACAAAATAAACGCTTGTGTACGGAGACCCGAACTATTTAGACCGAAGGACGCGAACAGACTAACTACGCGACGACGCATAACTGAAAATATAACGCTGTCCGAAAAACAAAAGAATGTATCAGTAGTAGCTCGCTCTCGTGATACTTATCGATAACTTAATACCTCGCGCTTCGGCAAGCTCTAATAGAGATTTGTAAAACTTACTTTAACAAATAAATTACATTAATTAAATCAATTAATTAATAAAAGTAATTAACAAATTAATTGGTGCAAAGAAAACGCATTAAGTCTTTAAGAAAAAGTATGCAATTTGCAATGTGCAGCTGCGTACTTTTTCTTAAAGTCAACTATACGTTTTCTTTTCACCAATTGATTTGTCTCATTATTCTGTGCATAAAAGTATTACGGTAAGATTATTGAAAACTAATATGCAGTAGCTTTTTTAGCATGAAGCAGTTTTTCTAAATAATAACAGTTTTGTGATTAAATTTATTTTAGTTTTATATTGCCATATGTTAAAATGTAATTAATTTTTACTTACTGTAGCAGACTGCGCGATTTTGCAGTGAGCAAGCGGTGAGCTTTATCGACAAGTAGGATGGCGGTAGGTCCCGAATTGAGCCACGCGAATTGAATCACAACTGACTTATTTTATTTTTCGACAATTACAAAAATTAACACAAGCTACACTGAATACAACTTATTTCTCTTCTCGCAGGCAACGAGAATCGGCCGTGGCAGAATATCGGCAGTGGGCCGGGCAGAGCGCGACCGACGTATTCTTTTTACGAGCGAAATTCGCGTTACGTTCGGCGGTTATCTCGAAGTGAGAGCGCGCGCTTCTCGCACGCTGCTTTTATAGCGCGGGATCCTTCGAGAAGGATCCAGATTTCTTGCGAAGCCGGCGAGTTTCCGGTGACCGTTTTTATTTTTTCTGTCGCTTGTTTTGAAAGTGGCTTGTGTGATCAAAATATTATCACTGACCACTTTCAAGCGACCGTTTAGTGGCCGCCCGCGATTAGGCGCCGGCTGCGTGACGTTGTCGAGCGCGGTTTTTTCAAGCTCACTCAGGCGTATGCGCGTGTACGCAGCATGTGAGGTCTCGAACATCCCGCCCGTCTCGCCAGGTGCGCTTGGCGAGTTCCGATAACCAGCGTGGCGCGGATCTTGATTGATAGTGAGATTTATCCGAGTTCACGAGGGTGGCTAGTGATGTACCCGGCGGGCGAAATGACGCGTCGTGATGTGAGGCTCCACGGCTGTTGACCAGGCAGAAAGGGGGAAGGAATTGGGCCGAGCTAGTGTGAGTACAAGATTACCTTTCACACCGAACCTAGCTTACTAATGCGCTGTCTTGCCTTTGATGTTGTGGTCAGCTGTTCCCGATGCGGTGAGGGGGTGAGTCAAGGCGATCAGCGCGTGCGCGGTCTACCAATATCGCGTGGCTGAGTCGCGGTGAATTTGGCTGTCAAATGATGCTTTCTCGCAAAGCGTCGGCAAGAGTCCGACTTGCGCCCGGTGGTACGTGTTAATTTTCAGTACGCAAACGCGCGGAGCCCCCTTTTGTACATTGATAGCCAAATGGTTTTTTTTTCTCAGGATGCTCTTATGTTTCTACGAGCGCGATGGACGCAAGAACGCCTCGCGAGACGGCTCTAGCGCATCGTCGCCGGCCGTGGCATCGCAACTCGGCAAGAGAATGAGTTTGGTGATCGGCCGGATAAGCTCGGATGCGGCAGTGCGGATTGTGACGACGCGAACCCGACCATCCTCCCCCGGATGAGTGCGGACGATGCGAGCGAGGGGCCATCTTGTTGGTGGCGTGTTCTCGTTCCGGATGAGGTACAGTCGTCCGAGCTCGAAGCCGGCCGCTTCTCTCCACCACTTTGGCCGATGGACCAGGGCGTGGAGGTACTCCTTGGACCACCGATCCCAAAAATGATCCCGTATCTGTTGCAACAGCTGCCATCGTGCTAGCCTGTTACTTGGCAGGTTCAGCGTCGGCTCGGGTACAGCGGTCATGGCTGATCCGATTAGGAAATGCCCCGGTGTGAGGGCGGCGACGTCGTCAGGATCATTGGAGAGCGCCTGGAGTGACCGTGAATTTAGGCACGCCTCGATTTGGGCAAACAGCGTGGCCATTTCCTCGTAGGTCAGCGTCGACTCTCCCAGTACGCGTTCGGAGATGGTGCTTGAGGGACTTTACGGCCGCCTGCCATAGGTCCCCAAAGTGGGGGGCTGCCGGCGGGTTGAATCGCCACTAAATTTGGTCCGCGGTCAGCTGTCCGACTATTCGTCGTCGCTCCGGGCTACTGGCGGCGAACAACGCTCTCAGCTGCGCATCGGCTCCGACGAAGTTTGTCCCGCAGTCGTTATGGATGGTGCGGCACAATTCGCGCCTTGAGACAAACCGTCGAAGGGCCGCCAGGAAAGCATCGGCAGTGTAGTCCGATACGACCTCCAGATGCACAGCCCTTGTGGATAGGCAGACGAATACGGCGATAAACGCCTTGTACGCCTGGCGTCCGCGCCCTTTGCTCGTCCGCAATTGAATAGGGCCGGCGTAGTCGACCCCTGTGTTGAGGAAAGGTCTAGCCGGCGTCACCCGCAGCCTCGGGAGATCGCCCATGAGTTGCTGAGGAACGGCCGCCCGCCATCGCACGCAAGTAACGCAACGCAGGATCAGCTGCTTGACCAGGGATCGCCCGCGAGGGACCCAGTAGCGTTGCCGGACCAGCCCCAAGGTCATCTGGACTCCATCGTGCAACGATCGATGGGACGCCTCAACGATCAGCCGGGTGAGGTGAGAGTCACCAGGGAAAATGATCAGGTGCCGCTCATCGTAGGCGAAGATAGCGTGCTTAATTCGACCTCCTACTCGGAGGATGCCCTGCGGATCTAAGAAGGGACTAAGACGAGTCAAGGTATTGGATTTAGCGAGAATACGACTTTGTTTAATGATGTCTAATTCTGCCTTGTATTTTTCAGCCTGTACCCGAAGGATCCAGGCCGTCTGAGCAGCGTTGATCTCGGCTACTGACAGGGTGTCGCCAAGTCGATTAGAGTCTGCCTTCGGTGCCGTGATCGTCTCGGTTGTTGGTCTCGACCGTAGCCACCGTCGATGCCAAGCGGTCACACGGAGTAACCGTTGGAGGGAGGAAAAACGCAGCAGCTCCTCCGGTTCCTTCGACGGTGGGGGCCCAGGTCGAGCCGCGTGAGTTTGGCTTCAAGCGTTGGGCAGGTCGGCATCAGGAGACAAGCAGTCCAGAGCCGGCCACGACGAAGGTGTCGTGCGAATCCAGAAGGGACCCTGCCACCAAAGCTGATGAGTCACCAGCTGTCCCGGCGAGACGCCTCGTGAGGCGCAATCGGCTGGATTCTCTCGGCCCTGGACGTGATGCCACAGCGCGTGAGGCGCGGTGGTCTGTATCTCGGCCACGCGGTTAGCGACGTAGGTCTTCCAACGAGACGGGTGCTTTCGAATCCAGCCTAGAGCGACGGTGGAATCCGACCACAGATGGACTAGGGTCTTGGCAGGCAAGCTCGAGCGTAGCTTGGAGGCCGGATGCGAGGCGCATGAGCAACGCGGCGGCACAGAGCTCCAGGCGGGGTAGCGAGATTTGCTTGGTAGGAGCAACCTTGCTTTTTGCCGCTATGATGCTGGTGTGCCAAGACTCACCGATTGCTGTCCGTAAGTAGACGACGGCGGCGTAGGCGCGCTCGGAAGCGTCCGCGAAACCATGAATCTCCACCCGGGCACCGGGATCGCAAGAGGTCACCCACCGAGGGACGCGAAGACCCTCCAGCAGCGGGAGCTCGGCCTGAAAGTCAGCCCACTGACGGGAGAACTCCTCATCGAGTGGCGTGTCCCAGTCGAGACCCTGAAGCCAGGTGGACTGAAACTCGATCTTGGCTATCACTACTGTGGGGGCCAACCAGCCTAGTGGATCGAACAGCTTAGCGATGAGTGACAAGACTGACCTTTTTGTGATAGTGCCAACTGTAAGTCTTCGAGTAGCGAAAGAAAACTCATCGCTGCTGGGGTGCCATTGCAGGCCGAGAGTCGAGTGGCTTTCATGTGGTCGCCAGTCGCGCTGCTCACGCTGCATCCTGTGTTCGGCAGGAACGTCAGCCAGGAGCGAGGGTTTATTTGCCGACCACTTTTGCAAGGGGAACCCGCCCGCCGTACAGAGGCCTGTTAATTGGCGTTGGAGATCTCGCGCCTCGTCGAGGGTGGCCGCGCCTGAGAGGACGTCGTCCATGTAGACGTCGCACCGAAGGGCGCTCGCTCCCAGGGGATATTGCCCAGCCTCGTCCTCAGCGAGCTGTCGAAGTGTCCTCATGGCGAGGAAGGGGGCGCACGCCAGACCGTAAGTCACAGTGTTTAATCGGAAGTCCCCCATGTTGCCTTGCTCGTCATCTCGCCAAATTATTCGCTGCAGGTCGCGATCCTCGGGATGCACAAGGATTTGCCGATACATCTTCTCCACGTCGGTGGCAAGGACGTACCGGTGCAGTCGCCACCGCAACAGCACATTGGCGAGAGGGGGGAGCAGGTTCTGCCCCACCAGTAGATGTTGGTTTAGTGATGTACCGGAGGGGATCGTCGTTGAGCCGTTGAATACGACTCGAATTTTGGCGGAGGCGCCAGACGCGCGCATGACCCCATGATGCGGGAGGTAGCTCGTACACTCCGCGTTGGGATCGGCCGGGTCCACCTTCGTCATGTGGCCCAGCTCCTCGTATTGCCGCATGAAGTCGCCGTAGAGCTGACGCAACTGTGAGTCTCGGGCAAACCGCCTCTCCACGCCATGTAGGAGCCGCACGGCTGCTCGGCGCGTGGCCGACAAATCGGGCAACGGAGCCGCGATGGGGAGCGGAAGACCCGGGTTCAATTCCCGGCTTAGCCACTCGCGACCTGATTATTTTTCTCTCTTCCTTTCTCTCCAATAATTCCTATATGTAAGTAAATGTTTCTCGATATGAGAACAATATACTTATAATTTCGTACACATACGTATCTCGATGTGAGATCGGTGTACAATTTAACTGTCTCTTGTAGATTAATTATTAAAAAATAATTCTTTAAGAAATTAAATTAAAAAATGTTGCACTAACATCCTGCGATGGCTCTGGATGCCCCTTCTATTATATTTGTTTATTTTTTATATTTAATTGTGAAAACCTCAAAAATTGTCAAGAAATTGTAACTGAAATTCATGAATGTAAGTACAATTCTAGGATCCACTCTTAAAAAAGGCATGAGAAGTCGATAGTCGAATATATCGAAATCTCGAAAGTATCGAAGTGTATTGTTGCAGTTTTATCGCGACGCTGATTGGTTATCTCAATGTCATATGCAAAAAATATATTTTGACAGTTTATATTTAAATGGTTGTCAAAACAATATTGATCATGTCCAAAAAATATATTTTGACAGTTTATATTTAAATGGTTGTCAAGGCAATATTGATTAGCAATTTATAAATGTTTCTATGACAATTGTTTACATTACCTCAAGCTGTCAAGTTGTATCCAGTCTTAAAAAAGGCATAATAGATCGATACTCAAATGTATCGAAAGTCTCGAAGTTTATTGTTGACACTTTTCCGCGTCGCTGATTGGTTATCTCGAGAACCATGAGAACTAAATAACTTCGTCCTGGTTACCAAATATTTGGTGATGGGAACTAAATAATTTCGTTCTGATTACCAAATATTTGGTGATGGGAACTAAATAATTTTGTCCTGATTACCAAATATTTGGTGATGAGAACTAAATAATTTCGTCCTGATTACCAAATATTTGGTGATGGGAACTAAATAATTTCGTCCTGATTACCAAATATTTGGTGATGGGAACTAAATAATTTCGTCCTGATTACCAAATATTTGGTGATGGGAACTAAATAATTTCGTCCTGATTACCAAATATTTGATCCAGTAATTTGGGAACGCTTCTCCAGTGCAGTATCCAGCAAAATAGCGGCCACTGGATACTGCACTGAGTGAGACTAAATGGGAACGCAGCCATAGTTTGATAGCTTGATAGCAAAGGTTATTTTGACGGTTATTTAAAATAAAAAAATTTATCTAAATATTTAGATTTCCTAATTATTAAATTACTATAATAAGTGTGCGCGCGCAGCGCGCGCCTGTATTGTTCTAGTCCACTCTTAAAAAAGGCATGAGAAGTCGATAGTCGAATGTATCGAAATCTCGAAAGTATCGAAGTGTATTGTTACAGTTTTATCGCGACGCTGATTGGTTATCTCAATGTTGTCATGTGCAAAAATATATTTTGACAGTTCATATTTAAATGGTTGTCAAAGCAATATTGATTAGCAATTTATTGATTAGCAATTTATAAATGTTTCTATGACACTTGTTTACATTTTCAAAAGCTGTCAAATTGTACTGACGTATTCTCTGAAAACGCATTTTTTTAAAAAGAGTGAAAAAAGAGTGAAAAAGTGAAAAAAGGAGAAGGAAAGGATAAAAGGGAAAAGTAAAAAAAGGTAAGTAATAATTTTAAAAATTCTCATACCTATAGCGCGCACCACTTCCAGTACATGCTTTCTTCTCCATGCACGCTGTTCTTTATGCTTCTTATTAATACTTTTTGTCTCTCTCAAATTGACTTTAGAAAAAAATTTTTAAATTTAAAACTACATTTTCTTGAAAATAATATTTATTTATATTCATCTACGTAATTTACGTACTCTGTACGTTTTAAATTTTAAAATATGTTATTTTTATCCCAAAATTACCATGAATAATGTCGCATAGCGCGGATACATATACTATTGTTTCACGTCTATCTCAGAATTCGTGATGCTTATCTACGAATGTGTTTAATACTGTTTGTTGACGTAATTTATCGGCGCACAGATAAAATTTTTTCATCAATAATGTAAGTGATTTTCCAAGGTAATGTATGTTTTAGGCAACTGCGTTTAAATTCTTCAAACATATGTTTTAAATTAAATAGTAGGAATTAAATATTTTAATAAATATTATATTAATAATTTTCACACACTAAATTTTAGTTAAATTTTTCAAGATAAAGTCTATATTGAATATTAGGAATATAATTAATCAATTTAAACATTGTTAACTTTATCTATATGCAATTTGTGAAATGTAGTGTATTAATGACTACGCAAAATGAAAATATTACGTAAAAATGGAAAATAAGATAAAATTTTAAATTGATCTCAATTCTCATTAGTATATTACACGGTTCTTATTTCCCGTTAAAAAAAAACATTAGTCTAATTATGCATATTGCTGAGGTCATCATAATGTTGCAATTTCAAGTATCATGCTAATGAAGAAAGATAATTACTAGAGATTATCTTGTAATACGTTTATATATCAACTTTTAATTTTATCGAATTTATATTATTGTTTAAAATAAAAAAATATGTGGAGTAATTCTTTTTATGTGCACTGGATAACTATTAAAACATCACAATAAGTATAATATAATATAAATATGTGAAGTGTATTGCAATATGTAGCTTTAATGCAGCAATGAAACATATAATTTCCACGATAGCTAAT